AATGTTTGAGGTTAGTAATTCCCTTATTCATCAAGCATGCATAAAATTAACCAAAAGTAACAGTAAAGATATATATTTTTTTAAACGTTCTTTAGAACTTTCTGTTTATCAATGAAATCTGATCCATTTCAACACTGACAATAATAAAGAAAGATTAAGAAAGAATGAAAAAGTATTAATGTTTTTATATATATATATATATATATATATATATATATGTATATATGTGTTTTGCATTTGCAGTGTATATCATCACAACTTTGATCTGTTGAAAGTGAAAATTGGCTACAAGTCAGTTGCTTTCTCCATTATGGTCATTCAATATTCAGCACGTTTCTGTGTTTCCCAGTCACTCCTTCTTAATTTGTTCCTCGAATCAATAGAAGAATGTAAGCCATGCACTTATAGAGGGTTGGTGAGGGGCCAGGAATGGGATTCGGGGAAGGCTGGGAACACCAGCTGTAGGAACTGCACCACAGCACATTTGTTACCCATATATTGTACTCATTCATTCTCTCTTTCTCCACAGCACGAGCTTTATATCAGAGCCTACCACATGCTGAGCGACTTCCCAGCTGTAAGTGCAAGATGACCAAACCTCTACATATTAATTCATACACAGCCTAGTCAACTGTTGACCAGCTTGCAAATTTCCATAATTAAATCTGAAACTGAGAGGCCTGTGAGTTTAGTGTGCTGATTGAGCCGCTGTAGAAGATCGTGTGGCGGTATCACCTCTCACCAGTGAAACAGAAGTCTTTGTTGACTGACTGACTATGTAAAATGCTGGCTCGTGAATATGGCAGATGTGAGTTCAAATGAAAAATACCAATGTTGCACAATATCTGCTAACTGGAAATATGAGACAACTGAAGGGCTTGCCGCAATTATTGTCAGAATTATGGCCCACACCTTCTCATTCTGTTACCTTTGCCTGTTCCCACATTTTAGAGTAATAGTAAAGTCATCCAAACTATGAAATAACGCAAATGTACACTAATTGTGCACTACAAAAGTGGGGTCTTTAAGATTTTTAAAAAATGTTTTTGAAAGGTGTCTCCTATGCTTATTAAATCTACATTTATTTGATCAAAAACACTGTAATATTGTCAAATTGTAATATTGTAGTAGTGTAATTTTATATATGTATTTTCAAATGTAATTTATTGCTATGATGGTAATGCTGAATTTTTGAATACTTTGTCGATAGTATATTGAAGGAGCTTCATCTCCACTGTCTGAAATGTATTTTCCTGACCATCCATCTTTTTGGAATTCTTTGTAAGAAAATTTGTAGTCACTATTTATATTTCAAGCATTCAAGTGCAACATTTACATCAAAAGATTGTAAAGATAACAAGAAACAAATTCATTCACGTGTATCAAAATTTTCTGTTAGCGTAAATGGATCTATGTATTTGTTTGGTAAGAAGCCACATAATTAGGGAAAATAACGATTAAGATATGATTACCCAACCAGACTTTATTTATAATTTTAACTATGACTGTAAATTGTCTATTACATATGAAAGTTTAACAATTAATATTTCGCTAACCTAACCAATATTATTTTTGCAATTATTTTTATTTGCAAATCTTTATCTTCAGATAAAAGACCAGGAGACTGAGGCTCGCTATAGCAAACTTGTAAAACAGCTTCTTGATGATCACAAAGATGTTGTCACCATGTTAGCTGAAGGATTCCGGGAATGTCGTAAACACATAATGGTAAGATAATCTTACTGTAGCATCTTTCTGCATGGTGCATATTATACTTTTATTTTGGTAATTCTCAGTGAATCGGACCTAGTTCTTTCTTTAATTATTTATTTGTTACATTCTTTTTGTTCAGGATGAGACTCTGGTTTGTAATTTCTTGGACACAACGTTGACGTCTCGTCTGGGCATACGCATGCTGGCCACACACCACCTTGCCCTGCATGAGGATAACGTACGTCCCTTGCTTAATATTTAAGCACCACCACCATTTCTTACAGTATTAGGGTCATTTCCAGCAATTAGCGATGGATCTTACATTTTTTTGCATTAGATAAGTTCAAATGTGCTATGTACAGCAGTGGTGGCTCGTGGGTTTTAAAATAGAGGAGGCACACTAATTGTATTGGTCTGGGATCCCTGCCGATTATTATTATTATTATTATAATTTGCTTAACCACTTTAAAATGGCTTTTTGGTTGCCAGAGGCACGAGAGCTCACCTCTCCCCCGGCCTCCCCTACCCTTCTCTATCATTAGCGGTTGCAATTACACCAGCAGATTCGGCACATTCGCGATAGAAAAGCGGCGCTTTCACGTTATTACAGTAAACAAATCCATATTAGGAAACTTTCCAGTTCTTCTTTAAAATACCCATGAGCACATGGACATCACAGCAGTAAGAGCAATGCAGTCTTCAGTAATGTGTCCAGTGACGTAAGTGTCACCCTGCAGGCAGCCAAGTGGACCACCAATATTTTCGCATGACCCACATGCATTGACTAAATATACAAGTGGAGACCCCCACCCACATCTGCTGTCAAATTACAAAGAGACCTGTTGCAACATGCAATATATTTGCTTACTTGTGGAGTCACTTGAGAGCTGGAGTGGTTCAGGACAGGAAGCACATTTTCTAGTTGATTGCTGTCGTTTAATCATGCCTGCTGTTGTACAGATAAAAGCAGGTTGATTTATTAAGACTGAATTACTGGAATAAATAAAGAGTAGGAATTGTCTTGCTCAGCTTTAACAAACTGAATATGTGCTTTGTGATGTTAGTGATGTTTATTAATACATTTTGAAAAGGTAATCAAGAATTAAACAAGAATTAACTGACGCAAAAATTAGATTTTCTGTAGATTGATTCAGCTCATGAAAAACGTCCGAGTTGAACTATTGAAAGACTCGAAAGCAGTATAAATGATATCTCTTATAGTTGGCATGATTCTGCTGTAGCACGGTTATTACAGTCACATTACCCAGCATTAGTACTGATGCTTACTGTGTGATTTTGTTACTTGACATTTTGTTCTTTGCACTATTTCAGCCTGACTTTGTAGGCATTATATGCCGCCGCCTGTCCCCTAAAAAGATCATCGAGAAGTGGGTTGATTTTGCTCGGTGAGTGTGCTGTCCTTTTATCTTCCTTCTGTTTGCCATCTGCCTGCATCCTGTCATCTTTTTGCATATGTGAGTGCTTCAGACTCGAGGACTGTTTTAAGAGGTTATTGAGCTCTTTTGTTCTGTTATCAGCACAGTCAGCTCCATTTACAGCTGTGTGTGTGTGTGTGTGTGTGTGTGTGTGTGTGTGTGTGTGTGTCTGTGTGTGTGTCTGTGT